AAAAAAAAAAAAACAACTTCAAGAATAAACATTACAGAACATATTTGTTATATTTACCTCTTAATGTGCGTATAAGTGTACAATCTGGGACTTTCCACAATTTACACAAGCCACTCCTACAACAAAGTAGTAATAGTAGTAGTTATTTATTTTAATTTCCATGTCAGCATCTAAGGCTATCTGCATGGCAAAAACTATGCTGGCTTAATACAAGAGTTACATAAACAAAATAAAAACCAAGCAAACACAAAAATACAGCAGTTAAAATTATAAGATTTTTTTTAATTAACATATGAAAAAAAAAAAATTCTAAAATCTTTTTCTGATACAATCTTACTAAAGTCCCTGAGTGAGCGCTCCTACAACAAAGTAATATTTTACACGTTTTTATACCAAATATAACAAGCCTTTTAAAACATGCTTCTTAATCCATGCTCAAACATTTTTAAATATTATTTAGAAATTATTTTTTTGTTTCCAAACATCTTTTTGGTAAATAATTTATTAATCCAGAGACCTTTTTGTTCAAACAAGTCCTACAACAGACATTAAGGCCAACAACCAGCCTGCAAATAATAAAAAAAAAAAAAACTTTTAAACTGTATCAGGAAAATCACTTCTATTTTACAGGCAAAATGGTCACTCCAAATATTTATTTTATTAGTTAATGTAAGTTTCATGACAAGCATAATATTACTTTTAAAAGCATCCTCACTTTGCAGGAAGTGCCTAGGTAAAGGTAGATTGTTCTAAGCATCTTGGAGAAGTAGCCACAGTTCTTCTATGTATTTCTGAGTTGCTTCTGTCTCGTCATGTAATTTAATTAAGGCTGTCTCAATTATAAAGTGCTCACGTGTGTGCGGGCCATACCTTCTGTTGTAGGACTCAATGTTCATACAGAAATCTCACTGGATTGTTACAATACTTGTGAAAGCTATGTTTGGAAATCTAAAATTGATGATTCCCACTGGCATACAAAGCATATATAAATAACCTTCTTAAGACGTATATAAAATAAATGAATAAATAACACAATTAAATATAAAAAAAAAACATACCATGATGCAGTCACAAGCAACTCAGAGTTGGGGCTAAACTGGCAGTGAGATATTGGACGGTCATCACCAATTTGGCTGCAGAAGTTATTCACATTCTAAATAGAAACAATAATAATTACGTACAGCATTAAAAGTGAAAGAAAATTACAACACATCATAAGCCTGTGTCTTTTTCCACTTTCTTGGCATACCCGTAGGGTCTTGTGAAGCTCTTGCTGTTTAACTGTTCTCGTAGACTCTGGAATCTCTTTTTGTGCCCTTGCAGCATCTAACCTTTCCACTGCTCTGGAGACCCAAACAAAAACACAAAACTAGCTTTTAAAATATACAATACATACATTTTTCTGCATTTTATATTTAGATTGTTAGATACAGGAAAATAATATCTGTCCTCTGTTTACCTGGGTAGGGAATACTTGGCTAACCAAATGCGCGCCTCTTTTAGAGATGAAGGTCCTTCATGGTACCATGTCTGCTGATACTGCACAGAACACATGCACAGACAATCACCTTCCATTGGTCATTCAAATCTATGACGGTCTACTGTAACTATAAGGATACAACAGGTGTTCTTACCTCATCTTGAGTCCGTTTTGCTTTTTCATCCTCTTTCTTTGATTTCTTCAAGGCATCAGGACCAACTACTGAAAGAATGTTCCTCAATCTGTGAGGGAAAAAGTCAGAAACCACTAAAACTGGAAATATATATATATATTTTTTTTTTTGTTTTCTTCTGTCATTTGAGATATGGTGTTCATGTATGTCAAACACAATGTGCAGAATACACCACCTTTCAATGGTTTGGTAAATTTTTTTTTTTTTAGAAATGAATACTTTTATTGAGCAAGGATAAATAATATCTGTCCTCTGTTTACCTGGGTAGGGAATACTTGGCTAACCAAATGCGCGCCTCTTTTAGAGATGAAGGTCCTTCATGGTACCATGTCTGCTGATACTGCACAGAACACATGCACAGACAATCACCTTCCATTGGTCATTCAAATCTATGACGGTCTACTGTAACTATAAGGATACAACAGGTGTTCTTACCTCATCTTGAGTCCGTTTTGCTTTTTCATCCTCTTTCTTTGATTTCTTCAAGGCATCAGGACCAACTACTGAAAGAATGTTCCTCAATCTGTGAGGGAAAAAGTCAGAAACCACTAAAACTGGAAACATATATATATATATTTTTTTGTTTTCTTCTGTCATTTGAGATATGGTGTTCATGTATGTCAAACACAATGTGCAGAATACACCACCTTTCAATGGTTTGGTAAATTTTTTTTTTTTTAGAAATGAATACTTTTATTGAGCAAGGATGAATTAAATTGATCAAAACTGAGTAATATTTATATATATTTATAATGCTGCAAAAAATGTATCAAGGTTTATACAAAAAATATTCTTGCCCAGAATATGCTGCAAAGCTTACCAATAGCCATAAAAATCTGGCCACCCACCTCTCTCGTCTCTCTGCAGGCCCCTCCCCAAACAGCGTGATTGGCTCGCCAAGAGCTCGGAGGCAGGCCTTGACCTCTACATCATCAGTAGAGACCGTGATTTGTCTCGCTCGCTTTCTACGCTCAAACTCTGCCAGCACTTCAGCTTGTCGCTCACTCACACGCTCCTCCATCTCCATCGACTCACCTGAGAGGAGGGAAATAAGAAACAAATAATATTGCTAAAGAGCAAACAAACATCATTTCCTGTCACAAACAGTCACAGATTAACCCTGTAAAAGCTGACATTTAAAAAAGAAAAATGATTTGCATGAGTTTTATGTTTTGTATCCTGTTTGGTACATCAGGTTTTTATGGCCTGTATAATATGATACAATGAAAACATGGAGCTAATGTTTTAGGAAGAAAAAACATTTTATTTATAGGCCCAAACTGAGCAAAAATATATAATTTGGTACAAAAGGTCACTCTATAACTCCCACTTATGTCTTAGTAAGATGATATTTAAGTTTTATGGGCTTAGTTTTATGATTAAGCTTTTATATAATTCAATGCAATACAATAATTGAGAAACGAAGAAATAAATGTTCCTCAAAAGCCCAATGTATCATATCTGACTCGGAGTAAGACTTACTAATACTAATACTTACTAATTAAGTATATTAGTAAATAAGCATCGCTTTTTATTTCTCCTCTTTCCTACTACTTGTTTCACTTCTGTTTCAGTTTTTATAACCATTTCTTACTATGTGTCAGTAAGTTGTTGTTTTTTAGCATGTAAGTTAGGCAGTGTTATTTTTTAGGATTACTGATAAACTACTGTCGTTTGATTTGTATTATTTGTATTTGTGATTTATTTTAATTTTAGTTACATTATGTCTGAATTTATTATGTCTGTATAGGTCTTTTATTAAGTTTTAGTTTTAAAACTGCACATTTTAGAGTGGCCTTTTATTGTGGCCAGCCTAAGGCACACCTGTGCAATAATCATGCTGTCTAATCAGCATCTTGATATGCCAGACCTGTGAGGTGGATGGATTATCTCGGCAAAAGAGAAGTGCTCACTAACACAGATTTAGACAGATTTGTGAACAATATTTGAGAGAAATAGGCCTTTTGTGTACGTAGAAAAAGTCTTAGATCTTTGAGTTCAGCTCATGAAAAATGGGGGCAAAAACAAAAGTGTTGCGTTTATAATTTTGGACAGTATATATGTATATGTGTGTGTGGTTGTACATACACATGTAGTTGTTTTTTTGGTGTTTGGCTTAGTGTTATGTTAGAATCGTTATTATACTCTTATACCTTTTGTTCTTTACTATTTTGAATTGTTTTTAGCTTTATTTTTGTTTTTCATTTAAATGTTAAGTTTTGAATTTTTTTTGTATGCATTTGTAATTTTTATTTAATTTCTTTATTTTTAAAATGTGTATAAGTAGTATTTATAAAGTTTTAGCTTTTAGTTTTGGATCTGTTTTTAGTTGTTTTAATACTACAATTGATTGCTTCTGTTATCCTCATTTGTAAGTCGCTTTGGATAAAAGCGTCTAATAAATGACTAAATAAATACAATTATTGTATTTGATTCTTACATTTTAATATGATTTTTCTAAAAACTAATACATTTCTTCAGTCCAGCAAGTGTTCATTTTGAAGTATCACTAACATTATAAAAGTTACTTTTGTTTAATTTATAAAAAAGGGGAACATTAAAAAAAAAAAAAAAAACACACTAAAAAGCCTTTTACTTGCTTGAAAGTATAAACTATTAAGCAAACAACAGAAGGCATATAGCAGATTGATTCTGTGTAATAGTATTTTCAGCACAGTTTTGATCATTTTGCTCATTTAGAGGCTTTAGAAATTCCAAAGAAATATGCTACAGTAGGCTTAGGGTTAAAACACTTAGACAAAATTTCAAGAATTTAGTGGTTTGTAGTTTGGGCTCTGATAATAACATTTCCTATCTTGAAATATCAAACTTACCACTGGAGATATTAATATGTCCAGCCTCAATGCCAGCTTTAACAGCATCTTTAGCAGCGGTAGATATTCCTTCACGGCTGAGACGCTGCTTCTCCTTTTCTTCAAGGCTTCCATAGAAGATCCTGGCCTTTTTCACAACTGGAGCTTCGTCTTCATCCGACATCTTTTCAACTATTTGTCCAACAACCACAGAGTATCTGATATGAAAAACAGGCATACTTTTAAACCACAGTATCTTATTTACAAATAATGTATGGACAGTTCTACGTCGTACCTTATTAGCCAACCTAACTTTTACTTTGGTTGATGATATATAAAATAACGCTATTAAAAACGTGATTGCTGGAAGACACAAACGACGGGCTCCTTAACTAACACAAGTACAGTGGTAGTACTGTAATATTCTATCAATTACATTGAAGCACCATTCTTTATGAATACAGCAATCACTCAGTATTATATTACTACCACATGATATATTACTGTATCGTTACTTTCTGCAGGGTGTTCAGAAACTAATTTGACCTGAACCAATAGAAGCTAATGAAAGATAAACACAACCAGCTCAACTAACTCTTCACTTACCCTTTATACTTTCACAAACGCACAAATAACTTCCTTTAAAAAAAAAAAAAAAGTTGTTTATATAAAATCTAATGTATAATATCTACGAACCATAGACACTAAAAAAAACAGTTACACACACGACCACACGACGCGGTCTACCCGGCGCACAGTATGTCGTCATATCCGCCTGTTCTTCTTCTTCTTCTTTTTGTTCAATGGCCGTTCACTCCTTAGGAGTATTACCGCCACCTACTGTATATCTTGCGCACCTATCCGCCTGTTTTACTCTCCAGCGGTTGAAATCATGTCAGACCGCAGTGGAAATACTGTCTTGGTCTACTCTAATCGGTGCTTTAACATTATCAATTTAATCCTTTTCTTATTACGCTGACGTGTGTTCTGTGGAGCAGAGGTTCTAAACCTCATTGGGTCCCCCATTGTCCACAACAATATTTGAAGTTTGGCCACATGATTCATAATATGAATTAAAATAAAAAAGTCTTGATTTTTCGATGTTTTGGCTTATTTTAATGCGTGTTTTGGTTTATCATTTTAAGTCAAATTGAGACCCCCTGGTTGTACCATATTACTTATATCATTATTAATTTATTCATTTCTCAGGGTGGGTTTATTTATTAAATTCATTCAAGTTTTTATTTATTTATTTATAATTCGACCAAAACGAATTATTAAATTAACTGTACTACTTTTACTGTGGCCTTTCATCTAAATATAAATAGAAAAATTATGAAATTATAAAACACAAAACACTTCAAACAAGTCAGCATTTTATTTCAGTTTAACTTTATTCTATCAGCGTGCTGCTGAATTACTGATTTCTGTCCTCTCTTCGATTTTCTATGCGCTTTAACTACATTTCCCATGATTCCCTTCCGAACTAACGTCCTATGGAGATAAAGCGTGTGACTGCGGTAAGTGGCGTGATGTCAAACAGTTATATATTTCAGTTTGATATTAATCTGTCATGTTGAATAAAATAAACGACAGTCTTCATAGATCATTAACGTTACCCTGCTATTTGTGACTGTTTAAGACTCGAGAGTTCAAAGCTAGTGAGCTAATTAGCATGTAGCTGCTAAACAATAACTTTACATTGCTGCAGCAGGACTTGATAAAACCGTCTTTAAATTGACGGTATATGCATTACTTAACGATGATAAACTTTAAATATTGATATACGTGTTATGTATACAGATGTCGGTATTGCAGTCATCAGCGCGACTGCTCTGATAGTAATAACCTCGAGACAAATGTGAACAAGGGTTCAGCATAATTAACGTGGGTTTATCCCACAGATGTATAATAAAACTGTATACATAGCTAAGTGGTTTAGCCACAATAAGTGACTCTCTTATCAGCTGTGTTAACGCGCTTCCAGGCAGCGAGAGGCCGGGGATGTGAAGATGCTGCGCAGGAAACCCACGCGCCTGGAGCTGAAGCTGGATGACACGGAGGAGTTTGAAAGTGTCAAGAAAGAGCTGGAGGTAAAGTCCAGATAATGCTCCAGTAAATTCACTTCTTCACAGGACTGGATGTTTAGGAGATGCTTTCTATACAAATTAGTTTTTGAACATTGAAACAACCAAGTGATAACACTTTAACTTTTTCACCCCTAAAAGGAGCTAATGAAAAAGTGATTTAACTTTAAATTCTTATTAGGAGACATCTAATAAATAGCCTCAAGCACTTTGTTTTATATAAAACTCTACCGTACGGTTGTGCTGTTAGTCAGTCCACGGTAAATCTCGATTTAAATTCAGAGAACTAGCCTATTTCATGAGTTATTTTCCAATAATAAACATTTCTTTAACTTTATTAGTATCTTGGATACATTTCATAACCTTCAGGGTCCACAAAGATAAAAAAATATATATTTAAGCATCTGTATAATATATATAGCCGTATGGCAATATATATGCTATATGATGTCCTTTACAGACATAGCCGTACGGTCACGCATGATTTTGGATAATTGTGGTAAATAAACTTTTTTGCATTTCTCTTTTATTTAGCTATATTTCTGTTCTTTACCCTCTACTTCCTTGATTTCTTGTTTGACCCTATTTTCTGATGACTGATCAGCACTGTTCTCCCTTCTGTGTAACTGACTGAAGTTTGTAAACTGCTGCTGTCACTTGAAAACTGGAAACCCCCCCTCCAAACTACTGTTTAAAATAACGTACTAGAATAAGCTGGTTTATCCATATTTTTTCCTACGCCCCATGACGCTCTGTGTGAATGATGAGAGGAGCTTTTATTAAACTGTAAACAATCAGCATTAAGCGTTTTCAGAAACTGGGTTCAATGAGGTGACATCATTCTGTTCACCCTTCAACCACTGAAAGGAAATTTAAACCTGGAACGAGACGTCAGGATTTGGGGAGAGACATGAGTGCTTCTTAGTGCATTCCAGTGAATTATTCATGAATGAATTATTCAATTATTATATACATCGCAAATGAAATCGGAAAAGCAGACCACAAATGCACCGTATATGTTGATGAAAATAATCATGGGTGAAAAAAATGCAGCAAATTGAAAAGAGCTCATTAAACCTGTCATATTAAAAAATATCAAGTGTAAGTTAATCTCCTGCCATCTGAAAATAGAACGTGAAGGAACATTTACAGCTCATTCAGACGGATAAGGATTATTTGTAGAGAAACTGTGATTTGAAATGATTTCTTTCAGTCTTTTTAAGTGGAACTTCCTCAAACCAGAAGTGCCTCTCATGATTTAAAATGCAGTAGGTTAGTTAGGAAAAAGATGGATTCTGCATAGGACATAGTATTTAAATTGTGTTTATGTTGTGATCACATGACCAGCCAAAAACTACTAATTTCAGCTGTATGCGATGCAATGCATAAAAAGACAGTATAAGTCATTATAATCCGGGGCATAGAGGAGAAACAATAATGTACAGTATGTGGAAAATAATGTTTTTTTTAACCTTAAACCACATAAACGCATTTCATTACACCAAATAATGTTCTTTTTAGCAGCATCATATGACGCCTTTAACCCATTCAAATACACACACACCGTGAACACACACCCGAAGTAGTGGGCAGCCATTTTTTCTGCGGCGCCCCGGGGAGCAATTGGTGATTTGGTGCCTTGCTCAAGGTTATTGAAGGTGGAAGAGCGCTGTACATTCACTCCCTCACCTACAATTCCTCCTGGTACTGAGACTCATGGGTAGCAAAATACCTGTCAAATTATACAATGGCATCCAGTTTCCATCTTGCGTACATTGAGGTTCTGCCAGCATGGTCAAGCAGGCCAAACACCTAAACCAGTTAGAAGTAGCTAACAGTAATGATACAATGTAAAAAATGCCATATGTGAAACTCTGAAATAGCATCTGGTTTGAGCAGAAAAAGACAATTTGTCTATAGCATATTTAAGCAATTTTGTGTGCTAAGATCTACAACATACACTTAAAGATAGTTTTGTGTAAGTAAAGATTGATCTTGTTTTAATCTCCACGGTTCTTACCCATGTCTGTCCAGAGTCGAAAGAAACAGAGGGATGAGGTGGATGTAGTTGGTGCCGCCACATCCAGCGAGATGAGCGACGCATCAGGTGGCGGCACGGACGGGAAGACCAGGGAGCAGATGATCCACGAGCGAATCGGTTACAAACCCCACCCAAAGCCTAACACGTTACCGTCACTTTTTGGGAACCTTCAGTTTTGACCATTTGCAAGGTCTTGAGAATCTGCATCACACACAGACATGTATTATGATTTGATAATGCCTGACCTGAAATAGACTGAAAGCATTCTGGGTTTGGTTAACTGTGTGTTTGTGATAACTGATTACAAAGGACTATTTTTCTACTTGAGTAATTACAGTCTTGTCCGTTGGATGTGGAAAATTGTATGTTTTCGCTTTACTGAAAATACAACAAGAACAAGACGAGGAGAAACATTTCATAGGTGAGCCGATCATCAAAACGGGTTGGTTTATAAATGAGGTGGTCAAGAAGAATATCTTTGAAATCATACAATATTTATTCATCATTTTCTTTATGATTACAGTACATTACTCTACAGACTTGACTGAACTGTAAACAGACTTAAGAAATCTTAACACTGCCACAGCACTGGAAATGAGGTTCAGTCTACAATTTTAGTTTTTCCCCACTCAAGACAATGCGAACTTTGTTTTTGAAACAAAATCTGCGTTTTGAGTAACCCCTGTGATGGAGAACAGAACCTCATATCTACAATTCTACAAAAACGATGTGAATATTTTCTTTTAGAATAGTTTTTCTGCTTAAAACAAAAAAAAGAAAATTACAGGAAAAAAATTATAAAGGAACAAAAAAAAAACTTTTAAACAGGCTTTCTTCTAAAACCCACATGCTTACTGGTTCAAAATATATGTGGTTTTGCGATTTTCTCAGTAAGAAAGCTTTGTGTTTACGAGCAATTGAGACACTCTTTGGGCACTTTTATTGGGTCCTGTATGTAAAAGGCACACTCCTTTCAATTAAGGAGAATAACTATCATCAATTTCCACATAAAATTCACATTCCGAGACCCAGTAACTATCAGAGCGATGAACTTAATGTTTTTAATAGCTCATGATTTGCTCGACATCACAAATGTGCCACAATTTTTCATTTAAAAATGTCATAACGTAAAAGGATCCACATAAAGATTGCCAGAAAACATTGATAACAAGTACAATTGAGTGTTACAAATATAAATTATAAAACGAAATCGGTGACACTGGCATCAGATATAATTGACTTTCCACTAATCTCCCCGTATTTACTTAAAAGCACTCCAAAGGGAGCAAAGTTCGACTTCAAACTCAAGAGTCCCAAAACCTCTCTTTCTTGTGCAAACATCATTCAGTCCAGTGTTTATATCTAAACAATGGTCACTGATTATTAACGGTGGTTTCAGCGATTTGAAACACTTGGCCATAACAACCTCAAAAGTAAAAAAATCACCCTCCCACCACTAGTGCTTGTATATTGGGTCCACCAGATCCAGTTTGGCTTTTAGAGTCAACGCTCGCCCTCTTGGGTGTATGTGTGTGTGTTCCCTCATTTAAGGCAAAGGGTTTAGTAAGGCTCTTTCGCACCCAGAGGCACCTTCATAAACATAAGAATCCGTGAGATGTTACAAATAATGTCAGTTGTGACCGTCAGTACTATGGAGGTAGACTGATAGGCTGTGCACACTTATGCTATTATTAGGATGGTGATGATAAGACGGTTGTTGGGATATGAAATATGGGGCTAATTTATAAAAAACGAATCAAATTCGAGCTTTAAAACGAATAGAGCCACTTGGCTGATATTTACCAAGATTAAAGAAATCATATAGTGCTCTACACATATAGAGTTGCGGTGCATGTTGGGATTGTGAAGTGGGTGTTTTTTTTGAGGTTATACACAAGAGAGGTTAATGACAGTGTTCTGTAATATCCACCACTACTGCCTTCTTCCAGCTGAACAGGAAGTAGCCAAAGCCGGCGCCCGCTGCCACAGCGATGCACAGGTAGCCGTTGTACGTCATGAACACCAGCATGAGGAAGTAACTGACCACCACTTGGACGATGTGAAGAAACGTCTGGAACAAGTGCGCGAGACTCAGCATTCGCTGGCTGGAGGAGAGAACAGAAGCAGGGGTTTAGCTTAGTACAGGATTATAAATGGCAGGTCATCAGTGTGAAGACACAACCTGGGGAATGCATGTTTACCTCTCGGGGGTCACTCGTGTGGCAGTGACTGCATACAGGAGATGATCAGATCAGTGTAAACAGGCTTAATGTTGATTTATGTTTGCCTGTTTTTCACGGAGCTCATTTAAAAAGCGGTGATGAAAGAAAATGTTTTCAATCAGAGCTAGAGGTTTGCAAACCCAGGGGTTTTCAAACAGAGAGGAGCAATGTGGTGCTTCAAAAAGAAAAAAACTGAAGAAAAAAATACTGGATACTATATGAATAAATTGATACATCTAATTTTTATACATCTAATAATAGAGATAATATCAGAATCATTTCATTTGACTTTAGTACTAATATATAAACAATATAAAGGCCAATTATTAAATTTAGCAAACAACATTTCTTTATATTACCATGCTTATTTTTATGTACTTAAAAAAAAAAAAAAAAAAAACCTTAATCATGACATAAGTCCAAATTATGACATAATTATGAGATAAAGAGACAAGTCAGAATTTATGAGATAAAAGTCCATAATGACATTAAAGTAATTTTTTTGTAAGTTTATATTATAATTATGACTTTTTTCGACTTTAATGTTGACTTTCTCTCTTGATCTCATTATGAATTTTTATTTTATAACTTAATAGGTCAATTTTGACTTTATTTTATAATTATGACTTGGTATGTCATACCTCTGACTTTTTTTAATCTGATAATTTTGATTTCTTTTATCATTAACTTATGCCATAATTGTGTCTTATCAAAGCATGATTTTTTTTCTTATGTGGCAGAAATGGGCTTCCATAAATATGACTCCAGTTCTCGTTTTAAATTTGGACAGTAACGGTTGGGTGGGGCTAATTGTCACATTTATGGACCAATTTCAGTCTTTATAACTTTAAGGTCAACATGCAATTGCTTTCACAACCCATTTGACTTTTATTTTGTCACGTAGTTCACGTGAAACATGTGGAGTGCAAAGTGGCCATTCCATATCATAAGTTATAACAGAGAACTGAATAGCACACACGGCCTGACAAGTGCTGAAAGGAAAAGTTCCTTCAAGCTGATGATTACAAAAACATTCTCGTGTACTGATGAATCATTCACAAGAAGACCACGAAGTTTCACCAAGAAAACAGGGTCATTTTGATTTTTTTTGCATTGCATCCTGAAAACACGAGTACTCCATTCACTGACCCGACTGTTTTATGTGTCTCCATGAGCACGGTGCCATCAGCTCCTGGGACAGGCATGGAGTTGTAACGCACGTTCACCTGATTCCTTCTCAATAGGAACTCACGGCCGATCTTCAGACCCTCGTAGAACACAGCCAGCAAGAACACACCAATGCACGCACCTACCATTTCTAGAGACGAGGATGAAGAAAGGTTAAAACCCAGGAAACCTCACATTGTCACCTGCTTTATCTTATTACCCCAGTGTACCGGGACTTCCTGGTAGCAAAAAAATTCTGCTTTGTTCTCATAATTCAGATGCATCAGCTTATCAAAACTAGAACAATCTAGTAAAACCTGTGCAACCAGTACACTTGCCCTTAAATGGATCTTATGACATTATTCACAAGAACGCCACTGTTTTACGTGTAATAAAAGAACAACCAGTGACATGTTTTGTTCAATATCGAATTTCAGGTCCCCTGTAAAGTTAGGTTCACACTGAAAGTGATTCACTGGAGGAAGGCAATGTTGCTTTACACTCGCATTGGCAGTCAGTGCATCAAGTCAATGCTCATTTGCATGAAAGGTTGCCTTGAAATGAATTTAATATGACTGGATAATGTTATTGTTTCGTCACCACAAATTGCTGCCAGTGTGAATGACTTTGAAGTGGATAATTCACTCAAAAAAAAAAATAATAATAATAATAATAATGTCATCGTGTCGTTCTAAACCTGTATGACATTTGAAAAACACACACAAAAAAAATAGATAATTTAAATGTTGGGAACTGAATATTGGAGGTCACTGACTTGCAATGTATGGACACAAAAATATCTTTCATATGTTATTTTTGATATATTAAAAAATAAATCTCAAAATATCTTTTATGTTCCACAGAAGAAAGTAATTCATACAGGTTTGGAAGGACATGAGGGTGAGTAAAGAAGAGAGAGTGTTCATTTTTTGGTTAACTATTCCTTTAAAAGCTGCTCCTATTAGTAGGGTTCTATGATTCCTGTGTTGCAGAAAATGAGGACAGAATTGCAGAATCCAGTCATAAACAAGAAATTTACAGTATAAGGTATAATGTCACTGAATTTGACAAAATTTGGATAAATAATAATAAAAAAAAACAGTGGTACACTAAATCAAATCCTGATATGGACTAGTGTTTGTAAAGACATTTATTATTACATTTACATATGATAGAAATATATCACTTTTTGTACAATACAATGTACTTCACAAAGTAATAATAAAAATAATAATAGTATTGTTTATTAAAGCTGCAGTCTGTAACTTTTTTGTGTTCAAAATTTATATAATAAGCGAGTACCCCATGAATCCATTTTCCAAACCGTGTTTTTGGCTTGTCCTGAATCACTAGGGTACACCTATAATAAGTGTTTATATTCGGACTATTTTAGACTGGTTCGGGTAGGTACCGCTGCGGAGTAGCCCAGTACCTGTGTGATTCGTCATAGACATAAACAGAGAGAAGTAGCTCCGGCTACAATGTCCTTCCGCACGACGCACGCAGTTCTGTTTAATAACCACTAGAGCGCCAAAAGTTACGGACTGCAGCTATAAATAGGAATATAATTTTTTTTTTTATTTAAACTTTAAATGGTAAACCTCTCGTGCAGCACTTTGTTTGCTTTTCATATGATCTTAAAAACATAAATTTGTTAAAGTATTATGCATTCATTTGATTACCACCGTCTGTTGATAATACATTTGTAGTAAATCATAAAACAAAGAATCCAGAAAAAATAAAACAGAAAACACAGAATCTGGCGAGCAGAATGGAATCAGAGAAGAAAATCAATCAGATTTCATAGGGCCCCATGTTAGTTTAAAAACAGCCCTTGCAAAATTTCACCAATTTAGAAAAACCTTACCTCCTGGCGTGTTGATGACCAGCCCAGCGAATAGCAGCTCCACATTTTTGTAGCCAAAGTAGAAGGTCATTTGCTGAAAGAATAAATGAATCAATGTGTTCAACCTATGTTTTCCCATAATGAATAACACAATTCTGATAATATGTTAATGAAGCAGTAGTCTTACTTCCACTGAACAACAACTTTAAATGAACAGATAACATGATCACGTCTTTGTTTAATGCGAAGATGGATTTTTATCAAGTGAACTGTCTAAATACTGACACACAGGCTTAATGAACTCCTGGTGGTCTCACCATCATCATCATCATGTGATCCCCGTGGCCTGTGTCGGGGGACGTCATATGGTCCCCATGATGGTCCGAGACAGCTGACTGCATGGTTGGGTTCATATGGTGACTGTGTGGATTTGACATCTTTATCTTACTTCACAGAGGTGCTGGGAGAGATCAGAGTACAAACATTCAAGTTATGCATTTGACAGCTCTCTAGAATAATAAAGGAACAGTTCTTCAGTATAGTGAATACTATTCTGCTAAATGAAAGGAGCAGAACATACTATAGCTGAACGTTTCAAGTGTTTCTGGATCTTGAAAGTAGCTTTTTAGCTATGGGAGTTTGATACTATGCAGGTGCCATACAAGGATAATCTGTAAGATCCTGATCTGCAGGTTAAAAGCAGCAGCCAGAAATAGCCTACAGCAGCCCCAAAGAGTATTTGGAGACTTGTAAATATCGGAATATCATTGCATTATAAGTTGTATCTGCTAACAAAGTGAAAACAAATGCCTTTTTCTCAGAAATAACTACAATCTTCTGAGCAATGACTTTTAATCAACTGGTGTAGCAGTGAATTTTAGTGGATATATTAAAGGGTTAATTTACCCCCCCAATTTTTAAAAAAATCTGTCACCATTTACTCATTCTCATGTTTTTCAAACCTGAAATTCATCTTCGAAACCCAAAGATATTTTTAATGAAACCTGAGAGCTTTCCCTACCTCCACTGAAAGTCCATTCCACCAAAACGTTGACATTTCAAAAAGTTCATAACGACATCTTAACATTATGAATTAAAAGTGGTTTAATCCAAGTCCATGTCTGAAGAGTCATGGTCATTTTACACAAGGGACGGAAGTCTTTATGTTTAGGTTTCATAAATCTCTCAAGTTTCAATAC